GATAGATAGATAGATAGATAGATAGATAGATAGATAGATAGATAGATGATAGAAAAATAGAGGTAGGTAGGGAGGCAGATAACCATAAGATAATAATAATAGCCCTTAGACTTGTATGCCGCTTTATAGTGCTTCACAGCCCTCTCTAAGTGGTTTACAGAGTCAGCCCCTTGCCCCCCCCCCCTAGCAATCTGGGTCCTCATTTTACATACCTCAGAAGGACAAAAGGCTGAGCCAACCTTGAGCCCGGTGGGATTTGAACTGCCAAATTGCAGGCAGCCGATAGTCAGTAGAAGTGGCCTGCAGTACAGCACTCTAACCACTGCGCCACCAAGGCACTTATAAGATAGATAGACAGACAGACAGACAGATGATAGATAGGCATAAATATAGATATAGATAGATTCTGTAGATAGATGCAGACGATAGATGGATAGTTATAGACAGAATAGATATAGATACATAGACAGATAAATAGAGATGATAGATGATAGATGATAGTGATAGAGATAGATAGATAGATAGATAGATAGATAGATAGATAGATAGATAGATGTAGGTAGATAGATAGATATAGGCAGACAGACAGATGATAGATAGGTATAAATATAGATATAGATAGATAGATACCGTAGATATAGACGATAGATGGATAGTTATAGAAAGAATAGATAGATATAGACAGACAGATATATAGATGGAGATGATAGATGATAATTCTAGATAGAATAGATAGAGATAGGTGATGGATAGTTATAGATGGAATAGATAGAATTAGATACATATAGACAGAGTTAGATGATAGGTATAAAAATAGATAGATATAGATACATATCTAGGGATGATAGGTATACAGATAGATAGATATAGATGATAGATAATTATAGATAGAATAGATAGATATAGATATATAGACAGATAAATAGATGATAGTTATAGATAGAATAAATAGATATAAAGATAGATAGATTATATACAGTAGATAGATAAATAGATAGATAGATAGAGTGATAGGAGATAGATATAGATGATATATATGCACATGTGTATGTATAGGTGATAGATAAAAGAGAAAGAAAAGAGAGAAAGATAGATAGATGAAAGAAAGAAGAGACCTGTCTAAGCGCAGGAATTGTGTCCCCACAACCTGCTAACCACAAACAACAAACCCAGGTTTGAGAAGCCAAGAGAGCCTGGGTGCAAATGGAACCCGGAGATCTGAAAACATCCGGTGGGTCGGTCCCATAGTCGCCCCCACTGCCCCGAGGCCTTGGCCTACCTTGGTCGGTTCCAGCTGTTCCAGAATGTTCTCCTGGTGGGTGGCAGCCACTTTGTCGGTGTTTCTCTCCTGCTTCCTCATCTGGGTGGTGGGCGAAGTGGATGGGCTGGTGGCGGCACTCAGATACGTCCCGTTGCCGAAGGCCTGGATGGCATTTTCTGAAGAGGAGGAAGGGATGGGTGTGTGAGAGAGAACCATACAACCAAAACACCACATCTGGAATCCTACCTCCAGTTTTGGTCACCCCACCTCCCCATTCCCCCAAAAAAGATGCTGAGACTTTGGAAAAATTGCAAAGAAGAGAGCAACTAGGATGAATTAAAGGCCTTAGAATACAAGGGTCTTCCAACTTGGCCAGTTTCAGACTTGTGGACTTCAACTCCCAGAATTCCTGAGCTAACATGACTGGAGGAGGAATTCTGGGAGTTGAAGTCCACAAGTCTTAAAACTGCCAAGTTTGAAGACCCCTGAATTCTATCATCTGTCTGTCTGTCCGTCTGTTTGTCTGTCTATCATCTCCCCATCCACCCATCCACCCATCCACCCATCCATCCATCCATCTATCACAAGGGTCTTCAAACTTGGCAAGTTTAAGACTTGTGGACTTCAACTCCCAGAATTCTTGAGCTAACATGAATGGAGGAGAAATTCTGGGAGTCGAAGTCCACAAGTCTTAAAGCTGTCAAGTTTGAAGGCCCCTGATCTAGATCTTTATATAATCTATGTCACCCATCCTCTGTCTGTCTGTCTATCATCCAGCTAGCCAGCCAGCCATGCTCTCTCTGTCTATTTATCTCTCTATCTAGTGCTGTATCTAGATTTTTATATAATCTATATCATCCATCTCTCTCTCTCTCTCTCTCTCTCTCTCTCTCATATCTATCTATCTATCTATCTATCTATCTATCTATCTATCTATCTATCTATCTATCTATCTATATCTACCATCTCTATCTATCTATCTATCTATCTATCTATCTATCTATCTATCTATCTATCTAGCCATCCATCCATCCATCCATCCATCCATCATCCTATCCTATCCTATCCTATCCTATCCTATCCTATCCTATCCTATCCTATCCTATCCTATCCTATCCTATCCTATCCTATCCTATCCTATCCAGTTTGTAGAGAGGAGAATGAGGAGGAAGAGGAGGAGAAAGAGGAATGTGAGGTCTTTGGTGCTCTCTGAGTTTGGTTATTTTCTTACAGACATTTCATGACCCTACTAGGTAATATCATCAATGCTAGAATGCAGGGATTTTGCAGAGTGTTGGTAACTGGTGATGGTGGAAGATGGAGGAGGAGGAGGATAAGGAAGAGGACTGTGGGTGCCTCAGTGCCCTCTGAGCTTGGTAGTTTCTTGCAGATGTTTCATCACCCAACTAGGTAACATCATCAGTGCTAGAAGGGAGTGGGGTTTGCCCTTTCTCTCTCCATAAGTGGCTTGCCCTGTCAGTCATGTTGCAATGAAAGCAATCCAACCAGAAAGCTTCCTCTAAAGGCCTAAACACCCTTGGCATCCGCTCTCAAGGACCAGAGTCCCAAGCAATCCACCCCCCGTCTAATTGTCTCCAAAGGTGCCGGACGTCAACAAGGCCAGAGGCCATACTTACGGAGGCAGAGATTGTCGACGAAAAGGTGCAGGAAGCGTTCACATTCTTCCTGCCGGTTTCCGCTGGCGTTGCAAGTGCACCAGGGCGCGATGTTGGCGGTGGAGTTATCAATGTAGTTGGGGGTGATAGTGCTACCTGCCGAGGCCCGGGAGAAGCAACGGAGAAAATCTCTTGAGAAAGCAAGGGAAACTTCAAACGTTTAAAATTTTAAAAGCCGCTATGGACAATCTAAGAGCGGAGACCTGCAGATTTGGCCATTTTAAGACTTGTGGACTTCAACTCCCAGAATTCCCCAGGCAGCATCTCCAAACTTAGCAACTTTAAAAAACTTGTGGACTTCAACTCCCAGAATTCCCCAGGTAGCATCTCCAAACTTCACAAATTTAAGACTTGTGGACTTCAACTCCCACAATTCCCCAGCCAGCATCTCCAGCATCTCTGGCTGGGGAATTCTGGGAGTTGAAGTCCACCCATCTTAAAATGGCCGAGGTTGAGAAACATCGTTATACAGGTAGCCCTCAGCTTACAATAGCTCATTTAGTGACCGTTGGAAGTTACAGCTTCACTGAAAAAAGTGACTTATGACCATTTTTCACATTTATGACCGTTGCAGCATCCCAACGGTAATGTGATTTACATTCAGATGCTTGGCAACAGACTCATAGTTATGACGGTCACACTGTTCCAAGGTCACGTGATTCCCTTTTGAGACCTTTTTACAGAGTCAATGAGGAAGACAGATTCACTTAATGTCTGGATAACTAATTTTACAGCTTTGGTACTAACTTAACAAATGCACTGATTCGCTTAACAACCGTGGCAAGAAAAATCGTAAAATGGGTCAAAGTCACTTAATAAATGTTGAGATCTACTCGTACAGCGTGTTTTTTTTAAAAAAAAACTTTTTATTTTATTACAAGCCTGGGGGGGAAAAAATAGACATTTCTTTTCAAAAGTACGGGACAAACTAGAAGTAATCAGAATGTGAAAAATAAAATGCAAAACGAAATAAAAATGGTATAAACATTCTAAGCCTGTTACTTCGCTTTCAATTATTGAACAATATACTGTAGGAAGATTTCAAATGAAAAAGAGAAGACCTGCAAAGCGAGACAGATTGCAGCTTGTTTGGAAGAGCAGAAAATAAATTTATTTTCAAAAACGGGGAAGTTATTTTTTTTAAAATGGGGGCTATTTTTTTTTATAAATATTGCAAATTGCCAGGGGCATGCATAAAGGGAAAATTGCATTTCCCTCCCTTTTAATATGCAAAACAAGTAACAATACCACGGAGACCTCAGTTTTAAGTATTAAGCTTCAGATAGAAATCTTTAGCATAGAATAAATAATTTAACATTATTTGGCACTTGTTTATTGGTGCCACACTCAGCTTTAGCTATTAAAAAAATCTAAGCAACCTTGGGCTTATCAACATTAATATTTTAGAAATCTTAGTTAACATTGATATAAACCTATCTTCACTAGTTTTAAAGGTTAAGGTGTTCTAAATCATCAGAGTGTTAACAATCTCCATTCCCCATGGTATAAATACCACTGTATCCAAAGAATGCAATGTATTATTCATATTTAAAATTTTTAAACAATGGATACATTACACATGGCCTGAATCCAAACCTTAATATTTGGAATAATAACACTTTCCCAATTATCAGAATAATTCTCTTAGTAATTACCTAGGCCTGATGTAGCCAAAGTTCCTCAGCAAAGATTATATTTCACAGTTTCTGAATATAATTCAACCTAACATTAACTTATTTATAACTTAGTTATTTCCCACTATCTCTATCTATCACATCCATCTACTATTCATCCATCTTCTATTTATGATTGATTTGTCTATCATTATCTATCTAGCCATCCATCCATCCATCCATGTTCTATTTATGATTGATTTGTCTATCATTATCTGTCTGTCTGTCTCTGTCTATCTATCTATCTATCTATCTATCTATCTATCTATCTATCTATCT